ATGGAGAGAAAACATTCTCTCAAGCTTTCACAGAGAGCACATTGGCCAAGCAATGGCCATGACTCATCCACATGGCTGACACTGACAAAGGTTCTATAATCTGAGGTACAGGATCTCAGGATAAATCCTGAAGGGATTTCACTGACCTTATCAGACCCAAAAGCTACAACTCTTGTTGCATAGGTCCTGCTTTACCTTGGTCTTAACCATCCAGAAGAAAAGTATGAAAACAAAATATAAGAAGTAAAGCCATGGTGTTATGTTGAGCTGTAGGGGACTCAGGTCAACAATTTCTGATACTGCCAGTCAAGCGGAAGACCTAGTACTATTATGGGCTACTGGACTCTTTTAGAATATTTTGCTGAGTTTACACACCTATAATATTCAAATGAGGGAACTAAACAAAAAAGGGGATCTATAAATGAATTTTCATTTTGTATCTGTGTATTCAAAATGGTTAGGATAGACATATAGTTACATTCTCTTAATGAATAGAGGTATTTGTTCTAATGGTGTTTGTAAATAGGATATCATGTCTGCATCTTGTACAGCATATAACCCCTAGGAAGACAGTATGCAATGTGTTAATTATTGAAACTGTCCTACCAACTTGATTTGAAACTGTCTCATTGCTATTTGTCAATAAAATTATGGAAAAAAATAAAATAAATAGGTTGTGTCTGTCATTTGGTATTGTCACTACATCATTGGCAACTTGATTTCAGGTCATTTGTATGTCTTCTGTGGGGCCTATACCAGTGATGGTGAACCCTTGAGAGCTTTTAATGATAATGAACCGACCTGCTGTGGTGGCATGCATGCTGCAGGTCAGTGGGCAAGGCACTGGCGCTCCTGTGGTCAGGGTAGAGAGGTCAGAGCCTGTGAACTTACGGCACGGTCGGCATGGCTGCCACCCACCATGACCTGGGGAGCTCTGAGGAAAGAGGCCGGGACTGCTACCTGCTTTGGAGGGTAAGAAAGTCCAACCCAGGGCCTGCGGGGACTGCAGAGTTGTAAGCTAGGATCAGCATTCAGCAGACTGCCTGAGTTGTGTGGAGTCTTCTAGGAGCCTAACTTGATCAACTTTCAGCCGAAGCTTGAACTAAATCCAATAGAGATTGGCTTAGAGCGGAGAGACAGCTGGCTGCCTGGGCCCTGTGCAGCGCAAGAACCTTGGGAGTGGCACATCAGAAACCTTGGGAGGAGGCGCAGCTCAGCTTTGCCCTGGTGTAAAATGCAAAACCGACAGGCTGTTTGCTGCAGAAGACTCTTGGGGGTCTCTGCTCCTGACCTCCACCACAGGAAGTAACCACGTTCCCCACTACCCCTCTCCAGGACCACCACAGCCCAGCGCGGCAGATTCCTAAGGCCTTCTGGCCACGCAGGCTGCAAAGCGCTCACATTCATCTGCCGGGAAACAGGCGGCATGGCACCGAGGAGTGTCGTGTTCAGTTTTAAAATGCCACAAATAACAGATTTATAGATTTTTCTAAATACATTATTTTAGCTTGACAGCATTAATCATTCATGCTTCCTTCTTTCATTTTTCTACCTGCAATGGATTATTGAAACAGAAAATAACAACGAGAAAGGCTAGCAGCAGTATCAAAATGTCAAGTTTGTACTTACAGTTGTATGGGCCCAGACAGGGTCAAGAGCCCCAATTATTTGTGTATGTACACAGTAGTACGACACGAAAGGTTGTGTCACCTGCAGCTATTTTCTTACAGATTTAAATAGGACTGATATTCAACTGTACAGTGAGTGGCTGACATGGAACAGAGCATTGTAAAATACTACAAATTCTGATGTCGGAAACCTAAAATAGGATTTGGGTGACTGGGAGGTATCGCTGTGGACCACCCTGCATGTCATGGTGCAAATCCACTCAATTACTTTGTGTTGTTCTGACCTGCTTTTTTTTTCACTTTAACATAAAATAAGAGAAAAAATATCACAGGGCCAGGCTTGGTATATAAAGTCAGGCCTCCCTACCTCAAAATATACCTTCTTGAGCTCAAGAGAGGGAGCATCAAGCAAACTTGATCAACCAAGAAAGACATATCAACACAGGTGACTCTGCAGGG